TTCAGAAAACCTTTGGCCCTCCAAGAACCGTTGATTCCCAGAGACCATAAATGCTACCCCCCCCCCCCCCCCCCGTTCCTGAATCAGAGATGGAACCTCCAAACCTATTTAGGGATAAAATGGAGGAAAGTGGTGGGAACACACATGCTGTAATGGAAACTTCAGAGTTTTTTTACAACCCATGCTCTTTATGAGCCACATATTAACAGTTCCTGTTGAGGATATTCCCTCTTTTAAGGACTCTGTGGATAGGTGGTTTAAAGGCCTCTTAAAGACCTCCTTTTCACTTGCAAGTACAGCCCTGCAGCCGGCAATTGTTTTCCATGTCTATTTACCACAATATTGCCATACAAATGAATAGAGAATATGAACCTCTACGGTGGTGTCTGTGGCGTATTGAAAATTTTTAAAAACTCTTAGATGGGCATCTTGGCGAACTTAATATACAGGGATATGAGAAATGGTATTACCTTTATTCAACCTTACCAACTATGTAACCTGTATTTGAGGATTTTATTCTTTTGCAGCTGGTGCCTTCAGCATTATTGTTTGTGTGGACGCTCTAGAAAATATAATTGCCAAGTCTCTAGAATGTCTCTTATCGTTGTGCACATGTGCAGGTTTTTGATGCTAAGCTTGGTCTGCTGAGGGTACATGTAAGATGAACCTTTACACTTGCCTTTTGACTGTGAATGCCTGTTTGAGGAATCCCTTGATAAATTCTTCAAGGATGTCACTGGAAGAAAGGTATTAAATCTCCTAAAAAAAAAAAAAAAAGCCTGTCTCCTACTCTATGGTTTCTAGCTATAATCAACAGAAGGGGCCCATTCGCTCTCTGCAAGCATTTACCTCAAAATTAAAGTAGAACTAAAGGCAAAGCTTTTTTACGTCATTTAGGTAGAGTAAGGGAGGGCTATAACCCCTGTAAGGTTTATTTTTGCCATATTTGCCCCATTGAGGAGATTTCCCTTCATTTCCTGTCCCATAGGCAAAATAGGAGGTGAGACAGAATCCCTTGTTGGCACCAAGGTCACCAGAATTAGTGCCCCTCATTAGATGATTACCCCCACTATTTTTGTTCTGGGGACAACCCAAAATTTAGGATTTTCTTTCACTTTCACTCTCGGTAATAATGGTAAATAGGACTAATAGGGTGAATCTCCCTAACAGGAGCATAGATAGCAATAAAAAAACATTAGAGGTGTTCTAATCCATCTCCACTCTATCCAAAACAAAAATAAAATTTTGTGTTTAGTTATATTTTAAGGCTTAGCAAACCTTGGACCTAAAAGTCCAACAAGCCTGCCCCGAAGCCCTCCTCATAATGAAGGGGTGTCTCCGCTCCTCAGAGTGTTGAGACATCTATTTGCATTTGTGCCAGTCTAGATCCAAGACATCCTGGACCTCTGGATCCAATCTGTCATTTTAAAGGGGTACAAAATAGACATCTATCTTTGCCCCCTCCTAGTTTCACACCCTCCAATCTGTACGCATCACCTCAAAATGGGGTAAATGTGCCATATAGGTCACAAGGGGTGGTTGTATCATTTCCTTCAGAGGAAAGGTGTAAACATTTTATTCAAGCCTGTTAACAGTCCTAAACCAAATGGGTGTATCTGCACCACTGTGGACTTAAAATCTCTAAATAGAATTCTTCGGGTGCCAAACTTTTAGTAGAATTGGGGGGCTATCATTATCATCAGATAAAGGGAATTTCTTGCATCAGTAAACCTACAAGATACGTATCTACTGTACACACCCCCATCTTCCCTTAACATAAATACTTTTGTGGCACTACCATTTGGGCTGCCTTCTACACCCGGCATATTCACAATGTTCTTGCTGTTCTGCGGACCCAGGGTATTCATGTCACAGGGTACTTGGATGACCTTATACTGAAGGACTCCTCTGCCATAACATTGTCAGCCAAGGTCTAAACAACCATTTAGTTCCTTCAAGCTTTCGGCTTAATTAACTTTCCAGAGTTTGCTTTCCAACTCTCACTCTGGAGTATCTTAAACACAGCCCAAGCTAGAATCTTCCTTCCTTCAGCCAAGATTGCCTCCTTAAGCCATGGTCACTTCCAACCTGGCCAGATTTACTAGCACAAAGCCAATTTGAAACATATATGTATAGTGCACATTTTTAATGACCAAATTAATGTAAGTGGTACCTCAAATACTGCAAAAAAAAGTCCAATGGCATAGAGTACATCCAAATGCTGCTGGTCGATAGTCCTTCTATTCCTACTGTGGAACTCCAGCTCCAGCGATATAAGCAGTAAAAAAGAATGACATACACCACTTCAATAGTCCTTTATAACAGACAGTGTTCCACTCTTCTGCTGCTCCTGTACAGGATCTGGGCAAATCCAGCTTGCACAAACCAGAAACACAAATCCAAAGAGTGCAGAAGATAAGAATAATTATTAAAAGATGAAAAAAACAATATCCACTTCCATCATAAAATACTACAATGTGTACTGGGAAGCCTTCAGTTTGAGTGCAAAAGCTGGGATGATTGGTGGCCAGAACTGTCAACTAGAGCTGGTGCTGAGCTGCTCAGATGTCAAACAAGTGGTGTCTGTAGAATCAAGCAGTGCTCTGGAAAAGAGCGAGGAGAGAGCGGTGTGTCAGGCAGGCTACGCATTTCAGGGACACACTACATTTCTCAAAACCTAGCTGCTACACTGAATACCACTCTGTTTTAAAGGTGATGCCCTAAGGCACTACAATGTAGCTCAACATCAAACCATACCAAAATTATTGACAATCACTGGAATCATGAATGATTTATAAAAACAGTGTCAGATGAGGGTCAGATTTCAACTTTTAAATAATCAAAGAAAGCAATACCAACTACTGACATGTTAGTATATTGGAGGAAGGAATATAGAGAGAAACAGCAGTCACATGTAACAACTGCAAGGGGGGAGTGCCTACAAGAGAAATTCCAACAATGAGAAAGATATAGAAAGATACATTGGGGGAGATTTACTAAAAGTGGAATGTGCAAAATCTGGTGTAGCTCTGCATAGAAACCAATCAGCTTCCAGGTTTTATTGTCAAAGTTTAATTGAAAAAGCTGAAGTTAGAAGCTGATTGGCTACCATGCACAGCTGCACAAGATTCTGAGTGTTCCAGTTTTAGTAAATCTCCTCTACTGTGTCTCCTATAGATAACATTCTTTAATAATATGACATGATTGGTTTACTTTGCTTGTTAGTTGCTGCCTTTAATGGCATTGTTAAAACTGAAGGATAGGGGTATATCTGATTGGGTCATCCCCACCTTATTCAGAGTGAGAAAATCAAATCTACAGTACCTCCCACAAAAACAATTGTTGCACGTGAAAGGCTTACTTTGCCTGGTGCAAGGACAGATGTTTGCGTCCTTGAGGATACTCTATTGTTCATACCCTGGACTTTCCCTAAACCGGTCTTGACCAGTGCTTAGCCCAGAGTACTTGTTTTGTTTTTTTGCACACAAATCTCCATATCGAAAATGAAGAGGTTACTAAAGTTGTGAAAATTCTTGTACGGCAGAATAAAAATTCGGAAGGGATGTAATGTATTGTACTTTCAGACGAAAACTGTACTGTTAACCGCTTCCCAACCGCGCTATAGCCAAGAGACGGCTACAGCGCGGTTGTCTAGTTCTAGGAGGGCGTCCATGAACGTCTTCCCAGAGCCCGCCCTCTGCGCACGTGATAAGGTAGAAGGCCAATGACAGTGGCCTTTTACCATGTGATGATCTGTGTCCAATGACACAGCAGATCACAATCTAAATACAGTTGCCAGTTATCAGCTGCACTTTCTTTACGCTTTCACAACGGCCGATAACTGGCAGATGTGACAGGGAAGATCTGCACTGATAATCAGGGCACTGACTATCAGTGCCCAGCAATGCCGCCCATCAGTGCCCAGCAGTGTCACCCATCGGTGCCCAGCATGTCGCCCCATCGGTGCCCAGCAGTGTCGTCCATCAGTGCCCAGCAGTGTCGCCCATCAGCGCTGCTCATATTAGTGCAGTAATAATGCTTGACTTACTACTTCCAAAACGTGTCGGTTGGAGCCTATAGCTGATGTCATCACTGCCGCTCGTATGAGCGGCACTGCATTTACTTGGTTGTCTCTATGCTGATTTTATCTGATTTATCATGTCTCAAGCTGTCATCTGAGTATATTTTCTGGTTCTGACCCTCAAGTTTTGTGGGCTGTTGACAGCTCTGTTTGTTGTGGTGTTACCTACACCTCAGTTTATAGCTTGGAGATTCCCTGTTGTATATAAAGACTTGTATTGTACAATTAATATAAAGGGAGTTTTGACTTACCTGTAAATTCCTTATCTTGGAGAACAGTACAGGACACAGGAGCCTCCTCTTTGTCTCCTGTGGTCATTCGTTTTTGCTTGCTAATAAAAAAAAATTGGATTCTCACGGAGTGGGTGGGGTTATATGAGCGTGCCCCTAGGAGCACAAGGTAAAAATTTACAGGTTAGTAAAAATTCCCCTTTTCCGTGGCTTTCAGATTGGAATGCATCCTGTGGTCAGGAAATTATGTGCTATACAGCCTACAATGTGTGTGTTATGGAACCTGTTCTTTAGTCAGTCAACACGCTTGGTCCATAATTAGTCAACACGCTTGGTCCATAATCAGCCAACACGCTTGGTCCATGGATTAGTCCACAGCAAACTTTTCCAGCATCATAGAGAATCTTGCCCATAATGACTAGCCAGGTTTTTTGTTTCATCCCTCCAAAGCATGCTGTCCACATTTGTGAAAAAAAAATAAAATAAACTTTTTTTCTGTAGTTTTATTATTAGCTTCCTACAGTTTTAGTGTCCATTCAGACAATCAGGATATCATGACTATAGGGATAGGGACCTCTGCGACATTTCAGATGTGAACATTTTGTGTTTCTGTCTGGTTAGTATCTTTATCTAAATAATATATGTCACCATTTTCTGTAATAAACTCACCTCTTTGTTGCATTTTGCAGGTAAGAGGCCTCACGAGTGTGGAATCTGTACAAAGGCATTCAAACACAAACACCATTTAATTGAGCATATGCGCCTTCATTCTGGAGAGAAGCCCTACCAATGTGACAAATGCGGCAAGAGGTTTTCACACTCCGGGTCCTATTCCCAACACATGAATCACCGCTACTCATACTGTAAGAAGGAGGCAGAGGAACGTGATGGCGCAGAGCATGAAGAAGCGTTGCAAGAGACCCTAAGCAACGAGCATGTAGATTCCCAAGCTTCTCCGTCTCAGATAGACTCTGATGAGCGCGAGAGCTTAACACGGGAAGATGACAGTGAAAAAGAAGAAGATGATGAAAAAGATACAGATGATGGACAGGACGAAAAAGAATGTGTGGAGATGCATGATTTAGAGGAGACAGAACTGGAGGTTGAAGCAGGACCATTGGAAGGTACTTTGAAGGATGAAGAATGTGTAGATAAAAGTCAAACCCCAGAACCAGAAGTCACAGAAAATCACGTGTCGGAAACTGACACTGCCCACCCTTAGCTGGTATTTTTTTCCAATGCGGAAAATCTTTTGACATTATACTGAAATTTATTCTATATTATACATGCTTTTTCTCTGAAACGCAGTAGCATATATACTGTGATTTCTGTTCACTACTGTGTTAAAAAAAAATCCAGGTGTGCCTGAATCTGAAACTTAGAAATTTTTCACAGCAATTTTAACATTTAGGAATCCAGTTTGTTACAAGTATTGTTAAAGATATATATAGAAATAATGACTCAGCAGTTAAAAGCGAATCAGGTTTAAATGAACCTACCCATCCTGCTCATACACATCTGGAAACATTTATTTTTGTCAGTATTATGTTTCGTTATCGTGTCAGTTAGTTTGTACATTTGGGAGAAAATTTTATCTTTTTTTTTTTTTTTTTTTTTTTTTTTTGTTATTACCGTTACAAACATCTACTAAATCTGCATCAGTATTTTATTTTATAAAAAAAAAATGTGAGTATAACTGCACTACAAAATTCCTTTACGAATAATGCATATTTTAAAATGTTATTACTACCTTGCTCTGTCCAAGACAAGGTAGAGTTTTATAGCTAAATATAGTTTGCAAAATTGTTAATTTACAGCATACTTTTAGCCTTAAGAAGACAGCAGCTTGGGAGTAAAGGTGTGTTCTTATCTATGAGGTTAAACTGCAATTATTATTTTTCATGAAGCTCCATTTTGCAGGGACTTAACAGCTTTTTCTGGGAAAAAAATTGCAAAAATCAGTGTTCCTATTTGCTTGAATATGTAGTACATATATGAAGGATTTAAAGCTATGTATCTCCTTTTGGCCTTATGCAAGACCCTCTGTGCTGTAAGTGCCATTTTCAGTATTTTAAAGGCTGGAACTTGCCTTTGTCAGTGGTCTGTAATCACTAGCATTTCTGGTATTGGTATCCTCATGAAGTAAACCAACAATCCTTTTTTATTTTTTGATGCCCAATTCCATTCTTGAGATTTTCAAAAGTACTTTCAATTTTGTCTACTTTCTTTTTTTTTTTTTTTTTTTTTTTTTTCCGTTTTTATTTTATCTTTACTTTCCTTTTTTTCTTGTTTGTTTATTGTTAATGGCCAAATCCAAAAATTTCTCTTAGTGTTTTTTTGTGTTTTTAACACAGCGCTCCAGTTTAAAATGGAAAATGAAAAAATCTTTCCATCTATGCTTTGTGTAAACCTTAATATAGTCCCACCAGTAGGAAGAGATTTTTTAAATGGTCCTCTCGTGAAAAACAGAAAAAATGCCAATATTTGTTCCAAAATGCTAACTATTATAGACCTTGTTTGTTAATGGTGTTAGCTAAAAAATTACCTATCAGTATTATTTTTAAGTTCATTTAGTTTTAGGTCTGTGCAACATTTTTTTTGTACTGTATGTCTTCAAAGCCCTGGCAGTATTAATACCCTTCTTACTGACCTGTACCTTTTTAGTTTTAGAAAACTTTTATATTTATGTGTCTTATTTTTATATTTCTTTATTTATTACACAGTCTAGTGTATAAAACTGTAGTTTGTATTAATACAATAATATATTTTAGTATGAAATTTTGGAAAGTTGATAAGATTTAAAGTAGAGTTACAAATGGTTCTCTTGCATTGAGATTCGATTTTAACAGTGTTATGTTAACATTTATACTTGCCTTGGACTGTAGAACAGGTAACTTGAGACGGGAATGTATTAGATTTCCACTTGCAATCAAATCCTTGTACCGTTATCTGGGTTTTGATATGTAAAACCAAGTTTTAAAATTCACTGTGAGACACATGGCTTGAAGCCAAGCAGTTTATTTCGGATTAACGTTAATCACCACAATGACTGTCCTTAGCAAGCCAAATTAGATAACTTTACGAAACAGTGTTGGGAAGTGGGAACAAAGTTTAACATGTTTGTGCCAATTAGTTCCTGTATCCATATGTTTTTTTCTTGTTTGGGTTTTTTGTTTTTGTATTTTTTTTTTTTGGCAGGGAATAAAACAAACAAAACATAACTTTTTATGTTCGTTGTTATATCATAGTCATTTTCTAGTTTTTTACCAAGCTCCCTCTCTCACAATAAAATACATCAACAAGTATTTGTCTGCTCATGTCTTATTTTCGTGTGTTTATGCTGCTAAAAATGGTACACAATGTAAAGCTTTTTTTGTAAGTTTTAGGTGGAGTGAGGAAAGGTCAATCCTGTTTTAGGTTACTGCGGTGGGGAAATTCACTACAGTAGAAGATGTCATTCATGAAATGCTAAAACCCTGCAGGAAAAAAAGGTTAAATACCAGTAATTAGTTCAACTGATGAGCACCAAGCTAGTTTTAGACCAATTAAATAGTAGTTACACTCTGGTTGAAAAAAAAGACACAAGTCCATCCAATTCAACCCACAGAGAAAAGAACACAACACAAATAGAGATATCCAATATACATAGTCCTATACCTACAGTTGATCCAGAGGCAAAAATAACAATAAAGCATGATATTAGTATCCAGTTATATTTTGTGCATTTAAGAAAGAATCCAGGCCTTTTTTTTAAACAATCTACTGAGCTGGCCAGAACCAGCTCTTGTGAGAGTCTATTCCACATTTTCACAGCTATTACTGTAAAGAAGCCTTTCCATATTTGGATGTTTAATCTCTTTTCTTCCAGATTTAAAGAGTGTGCCCCCTTGTCTTCTGTGATGACCCCAGGGTGAATAACTATACCGTGTTCACTATATGAACCACTGATGTATTTATACATGGAGATCATATCCCCCCTTAATCTCCTCTTCTCAAGAGAAATCAAATGCAGTTCAGCTAATCTTTCTTCATTTCTGAGCTCCTCTATGCCTCTTATCAGTTTGATTGCCCTTCTTTGCACTTTCTCCATTTCCCCAATATCCTTTTTCTGAACTGGTGCCCAAAACTGAACTGCATATTCCATATGAGGTATTACTAGTGATTTGTACATTGGCAGAATGATGTCTCTCTCTCTGCAGTCTTGTTTAATACAGGAAAGGATACATGTATAAGAAGAAACAATGGTATTAGAACTTTTGCAGTCTGTCCACACAAAGACAACAGAAGGAGTTATGGTGAGGAGACCACTTTTTTGCATATTCATAGATTATCATTATTTGAAAGTGAAATTTATGTTCACCGTTGAGCAATTTTACTCTTTTTTTGACAAAAGATATGACCTGCAACAAATAACCAGCCATAGTCTGATCAAGTTTATTGAGGAAGTTAAAGATAAATATGAGAAAAAGTTTATCCAACATTTATAGGGGGTCTCGTTTTTTTTTTTTGTTTTTGTTTTTATGCCACACCTAATACAAGCAAAATGTCTGTTCTATACAATGTTTCTAGCAACATAGCCTCATTAAACGTTCATGTACACTCTGTTTCCAGTTTATGAGGTACATCTATCTATAGGACTTGTGTTGGCTTTCAGAACAGCCTAATTTTTTGTGGCACGGATTAAACAAGGGGCCTAAAACAACACCTTAGGATTTTCCATGTACATTGTCCAATCATACATTTCGTTCAGACTTGTTAAATTAATGTGGTAAAGTCCATCTGACAGCAAATGCCAAAAGTACTCTAATAATTTAAGATTTGGAGAGTCTGCAGGCCATTAACATGACAATCATGTTCATGGGACATGAAATGATTTGTTTTGTGACATGGTACATTAACCTACTGGAAGAAGCCCTAAGAACTGTTGTCAAAAATGGGTGCACAAGAGGCCAAAGGTGTGTGTGCGTATGTATATGTGTGTGTGTGTAATATATACACTGAAAGGAACACTTTGAAAACACATCAGATCTCAATAGGGAAAAATATGCTGAATATTTATATTGATACGGACTGAGTAATCTATTAGGAATGTAAGGATGCCCCATCATTTGATGGAAATGAAAATTATCAACCTACAGAGGACTGAATTCAAAGACGACCTGAAAATCAAAGTGAAAAAATTATGCAACAGGCTAGTCCATTTTGCTGAAATTTAATTTCAGCAACTCAAAATGGTACTCAGTAGTTTGTATGGCCCCCACATGCTGGTATGCATGCCTGACAACGGCAACAAGACGACAAATGGTGTCCTGGTGTATTTCCTCCCAGATCTGGACCAGGGCATCACTGAGCTCCTGGAAAGTCTGAAGTGCAACCTGGCAGCGTCAGATGGACCGAAACATGATATCCCAGAGGTGTTCTATTGGATTTAGGTCAGGCAAGTGTGTGGACCATTCAATGGTATCAATTCTTTAATTCTCCAGAAACTGCCTGCATACTCTCACAACATGAGGCTGGGCATTGCCGTGCACCAGGAGGAACCCAGGACTCACTGCACCAGCATAGGGTCTGACAATGGGTCCAAGGATTTCATCCCAATACCTAATGGCAGTCAAGGTGCCATTGTCTAGCCTGTAGAGGTCTGTGCGTCCCTCCATGGATATGCCTCCCCAGACCATCGTTGACCCACCAGCAAAACAGTCATGCTGAACGATGTTACAGGCAGCATAACATTCTCCACGGCTTCTCCGGACCCTTTCACGTCTGTCACATGTGCTCAGGGTGAACCTGTTCTCATCTGTGAAAAGCACGGCACCAGTGGCAGACCTGCCAATTCTGGTGTTCAATGGCAAATGCCAATCGAGCTCTATGGTGCACAGGGCCCACGAGAGGACGTCGGGCCCTCAGGCCACCCTCATGAAGTCGGTTTCTGATTAGTCAGAGGCATTCACACCCGTGGCCTGCTGGAGGTCATTTGTAGGGCCCTGGCAGTGCTCATCCTGCTCCTCCTTGCACAAAGGAGCAGATAAAGGCCCTGCTGATGGGTTGAGGACTTTCTAAGGCCCTGTCCAGCTCGCCTAGAGTAACTGCCTCCTGCAATCTACTTCATGATCTTGAGACTGTGCTGGGAGACACAGCAAACCTTCTGGCAATGGCACGTATTGATGTGCCATCCTGGAGGAGTTGGACTGCCTGTGCAATCTCTGTAGTGTCCAGGTATCG